AAACCCGAGAAAGATTGACTCGCGAGGAGCAGGCTGGGTTTCGTTCTGGTCGAGGATGTATTGATCATATCTTCACCCTCCGCCAAATGTTAGAACACCGCCATACTTATCAAAGGCCAACAATCGTAGTGTTTCTTGACATCAGGGCTGCCTTCGATTCGTTCGAAAGGACTGTTCTCTGGGATTGTCTATTGAAGAAGGGTGTGCCTGAGAAGTTTATTAACATCCTAAAGGCCCTATATACAAACACCTCAGGCAGAGTGAGGGCATACAACCACCTCTCTCCATTGTTCCATTCGAGCAGTGGGGTTAGGCAGGGTTGCCCAATCTCACCATTCCTCTTCAACTTTGCCATCGATGACATTCTGGAAACAGCTCTGATGGATGTAAGTAATGGCGGTGTGGATCTGTTGCCTGGAGAAAGACTTCTCGACCTTGAGTATGCGGACGATATTGTCTTACTGTGCGATAATGCCCAAGGCATGCAATCCGCACTTAATCAGTTGGCAATCAGTGTCCGTAGGTATGGCATGTGCTTTGCACCTTCGAAGTGCAAAGTACTTCTACAAGACTGGCAGGATTCTAATCCTGTACTCACCCTGGATGGTGAGCAGATAGAAGTAGTCGAGAAGTTCGTGTATCTAGGTAGCTGCACCAGTGCTGGTGGTGGTGTGAGTGATGAGATCAATGCACGTATAGTGAAAGCCAGAGCGGCTTATGCCAATCTGGGCCATGTTTGGCGCCTTCGTGATGTTAGTCTGGCTGTAAAAGGTCGGATCTACAACGCGTCGGTGAGAGCAGTTTTGCTCTATGCTTGTGAAACCTGGCCTCTCCGAGCTGAGGATGTTAGATGACTCTCTGTGTTCGATCATCGTTGTCTCCGAAGGATTGCTGACATTCAGTGGCAACACTATGTTTTATTTATTTGAACACATACATATTGGTGCAGGAGTGCGCTACACAAAATAATGAGAATTTAAAGAGAAGGAAAAAAAGGTAAGGAGGGTAAAAAACGAACAATAAGGAAGAGATTGGTGTCAGTCAGTCAGTCAGTCAGTAACAACGTAGAACTTCGTACTTATGTACATCAGTTCGAGTTGCCACACCACATTAGCACAGAAATGCAGTTGTCGATTCAAATCCCGTAGTGGTAGAGGTAGCAAGAGTATAGGCAGTAATCGGGAAGAGAAGCTTGCAGCAGGATCGCCACTGGCTTCTATTCTGAGCCATATCTGATAACGTCTCTAACCACTGTGTCGCACTATCGGACCCCAGCCAGGGAGTCATGAAGGACCAACACAAGCCAGTCTTTTACAGCTTTCTTTCATACCACGACACCATGTCATATACTAACCACCTCTCCGCTTTTTCCAATCAGTCTCAGCGTCGGCAAATAATGCACGACGTGGAATTCTCCGGGACGACATTCGTAAGACATGTCCAAGCCACTGAAGTCGGTGTTTCAAGACGGTGAGAGTCGTCTAACATCCTCAGCTCGGAGAGGCCAGGTTTCACAAGCATAGAGCAAAACTGCTCTCACCGACGCGTTGTTGATCCGACCTTTTACAACCAGACTGACATCACGAAGGCGCCAAACATGGCCCAGATCGGCATAAGCCGCTCTGGCTTTCACTATACGTGCATTGATCTCATCACTCACACCACCACCAGCACTGGTGCAGCTACCTAGATACATGAACTTCTCGACTACTTCTATCTGCTCACCACCCAGGGTGAGCACAGGATTAGAATCCTGTCAGTCTTGTAGAAGTACTTTGCACTTCGAAGGTGCAAATCACATGCCATACCTACGGACACTGATTGCCAACTGATTAAGTGCGGATTGCATGGCTTTGGCATTATCGCACAGTAAGACAATATCATCCGCATACTCAAGGTCAAGAAGTCTTTCTCTAGGCAGCAGATCCACACCGCCATTACTTACATCCATCAGAGCTGTTTCCAGAATGTCGTCGATGGCAAAGTTGAAGAGGAATGGTGAGATTGGGCAACCCTGCCTAACCCCACTGCTCGAATGGAACAATGGAGAGAGGTGGTTGTATGCCCTCACTCTGCCTGAGGTGTTTGTATATAGGGCCTTTAGGATGTTAATAAACTTCTCAGGCACATAAATATGATGAAATGTCGATATTTATGGAAAAATACTTGTCTTGCTTCGACCAAGGTTGGACTTTAACACAGAATGAATAAGCCTCACTTATGTATAACAACCGATCTCCTGAGATGACTCGTAATTCCTAACCCGCTGAATCATTAAAATAACCAGGCGCAACAGTTCAGAAAACGTACTAAAATATTCCCATGGATGGAGAAACAAAACAAAACTCAGTGGCTCGTGATATTGCATGCATAGTGGAAAATGGAAGCGTTTCCTGATATTTTTAACTATGGTATCCAACCTTTTTGTTCGTTTCTTTAAAACACATTTTATGACGCGCTCTATGAATCAAGGTTTTGTTCCTAATAAAAAACAAGTTATATCGCCCTATCAATTGATGAATCCTTAATTTATAGTGTTGAGATATATTTTAAATAAGTATAGCAACCTCTAATGAATGAATCAGGTTAGATAGACTAAGAAGTATCGAAAGTTCATTAAATCATCGAACGTTGCATTCGATCGCACGGAAAACCCCAAACTAACAATATGAGGGTAATTACGCAAGTAAATTCCGAGATACAGATTCGCACTGACTATTCAATATCCACTAAAAATTACCTATAGCATAAAATGGTTGGTTTAATCACCATCTGCATCTTCATACACCTCTTTTGATGTGCAAGAGTAGTAACTCTGTGTAACTGTTGTTCAGGTATTGCTTTTGTGAAATTGTTATAGGATATGACAACTAGAACAACTTACACAAATACACTACGAGTTAAAAGCAAAACCCCTTATCCGCCAACTACTATGAAAATGAATATTGATACCTATGTACATGAACACTAAAAGAGTAATGTTATAATTTTCTCATATTAGGACTAAACTACCCGTATTTCAGTAAGTATCGGCTAATTTCGTGAATTTATCCACCCTTAAAATTTAACGAAATGAATTCGAAATGGATTGGATAGTAAGTCAATTGAAGCACAACGTACTTAGCATTTACAGAACAAAAAGTGAAATTCTAAACACAATACTCAGTTATCGTCAGAATATTTTATTTTTACTAATTCACTTTTTATCATAGTAGCTTTTCAATAATGACGAAATTCAGATGTCTTTTTGGGTTACAAGGCTTTTATAAAACTTCGAGCTCCATCTCACAGGACACCCATTATTTAACGTGCACTTGAATGTTTTGCTAAACGATTGTTCTGTGAGGCTAATTCAGTTCCTGTATTGTATTCATCCCATGTGAGTTACTTATGAGCTGTCATGCTCCAGAACATTCCACAATGATTCAAATTGTACGTACAAACACCATAAAACTACCTGACTGATGAAGTTAAATACTATTCCACATAATGCCCCTAAGACAAAAGCGGTTAACGAATATACGTCTTAAAACTCTGGATTGATGGTGAATAAGTGACTGTCATAAACCCAACTAATTATAAGTCCTGTGTACTTTTTTCAACGTTTGGTTCACTTCAAGTAATAGTCAGATGAAAGTACATGGATTCCATGGTTTAAGAAACCATAATAAAATCTTTGATTCTGGTAAAATTTTAATCCTACCTTATAAACCAGATCAAACACCGACCAAGGCAAATAAAAAACTGCTCATTAAGTTTTAATTAATATATCAAGTGAGGTGATAAATACACTAAACTAGTTTGCTTTCTGTGGCGAGAAATTGGAGGGATAGTGTTAGTTACCATAACACCCAAGGGACCAGGTCTTAATAGCGTGTTTATCAAACCAAACTATAATATACAAATCGATCGACAGCACAGTTCTGACCACACCCCACTGCATTAATCTTCGTTCAAAATCACTCGCGAAATAAAAATAATTGATGCAGAAAGGATTTGGATAGGGAATTCGCACACAGCCAAGGCTATAGCAATCCACCATCTCAAATCTAAGCTCTGTGTACGTTCAGTCCTTTATTCTACCATGGTCCTAGCATACCTTTGAATTCCACCTTCTTTATAAATCAAACGGTTATATTTAGGTTTTGTCGTATGCATTGCTTCTTACGGCTTTCGAAACTATTACACAAAGTAGGCTTTTGGTGATTTTTTATTACTGCAAAATGATGCAAAACTCCACTTGGAGCCCCTCCGGGGCTATTGCCGGTCCCAAGCCCGGATAAAAGAGGAGGGTTGAGCATGGAGTTAGCGACCCCATCCCGTAGAAAACTAGCGCGCTAAAAAAAACGCTAACCAGAAAAATGATGCAACCTTTCTTACTCAATACTTGAAAAATTTAATTGCATTGAAGTAACACACCTCCATTTGTAAATGATCATACCCAGTACATGAAAATTTTGATAATATTTACTATATTATGCAACACCACTTCATTTCTATTGACTTCTACTCGATTAAGTCTGATCATCTTTAATAATCTTGTAAAGCCCTTGTATTTCACTAGACTACTATACGTAGAAACTACCTATAAACACGAATATACAACCTAAGAAAACGATATCGCCTAGAAAGTTTTCTCGCTGAAATATCTTAAACCTCTCAAAATTATACCATCTGAATTGCATAAAGCTATGCGCTATGTAATTGTTTAAAGTGATCCACGTGTATGGAAAAAAATGGAGAAAACTGAAATAACGGAAATGGGAATACAAAACCCATCACTGTACACACTTTCCAAAACCCAATGGAATTCCGCATATTAAGAAACGAGGACTACGCATACTGACAATTTTTATAGTTTTTCGAACCAGTGAGGAGAAAATACATCAAACAAACCACATAACTCTACCTTAAACGGAAACATGTGGTGAGTGCATATGTATGTATTGTAGTTTCGTTTTTCAGATATAAAGCAATTTAAGAACGAAACCAGTTCTTACTAAACCGATGTATCACTTCTTTTCGTTATTACCGAGCTTCATAGAAGCTAACCAATCACTTTCTTACGAAATATAACCCTTGTAAATGAAATCAGATAAAACCCTGCAGTCAAAAGTTTAAAATGAACATCAAATTCTGTAAACTTAGGAATCATCAGGGGCAACTTAACAAAATTGTAAAGGTATCTGTGATTACACTCTGAATAAAATAACTACATAGCAAGTAAGATGGTTCACGAAATGAAACTTACCAGCATATCATCCATTGTTTTAAAAGATAAAATAGCAAATCCATCAATAAGGACTTCATTGTATTGCTTTGAACCATTTGGTAAATCCATCAGTTTGTCACTTTGCTCCTGGTTTTCACTTTTATTAAATTCTAATCCCTGATCAGTGGATAAGTCATTTTTGATATTTGTGAATAACCCTGCATGTTTCTCATCTTGAGGAATTGTCTTTTTGATCGAACATGGAGGGGAGTCGCTTTGGAGCAGAGGATCTACATGTTCAAATGACAGACACACAGAGTTAGGTATTTCTAATGCAGAAGCGATCAAACCGTTTTTTGGAGGATTGTAGCTCATTGAGTTATGGGCACTTATAGGACTAGTACCGATAGACGATTCCTCTGCTTTATTTTCAACGTTTTTCACGGTGCCACTTCCTTCCTCTTCACATTCTTCCTGGTCTACTTTATCAACGGTCCCACAGCTTTTTAGCATTACGGACTTAAAAAGGAACTCCCATTTACAATTAGCGTTTTTGCTCTAGCTTCTCATAAAAATATGATATGAACAAAACCACACGTGTCATTAAGCTGATCCATTACAAAATATCGTTGGTGATCTTAATTCCAGAAATGGAAGATATTGGTACGCAAAACTGAAAAGCAACCCAGTCGTTTGATCTTCCCACTCATAATCTGTGACACCTGTTCTTAATCATGTGTACGGAAAAGACATAAATTGTTTTTAGGCCGAAAGAAGTGCTTCGCTTATTGTTTTTTCAATCTTAATGTTATTCCGTTTGGTTGTTTTTAATAGAAACGTTACAGATATATTATTCACCATTGATTCCAGTTTCAGTTTAGAAAGGGCAGGAGACTTGATGGCCTGTGTTAGTCCTGGCAATGGTGGTCTCTCAGTTGATCCAACTTTCTTTTGAAAGAGTCGACGAATGGAGCCTCAACCACGTGCTGAGGTAGTGAATTCCACTCGTTGATGATTCGATGGGAATGTCGATATTCAGCGACAAGTAATTTGTCCTGGGCTTGTGAACTTTTTTTAGTGTCCTCGTAAATTCTCTGCTTTGGAAGGTAAGAAAAATGAGGGCATATCAAATGAAAATTTGTCACTAGGCAATTTGAAAACTGTAATCAAGTCGCCTCTAGTTCTTCGATATGACAACGGGAATATGTTTAGCTTGGCCAGTCGAGCATCATACGTGAGCTTCGGGAATCAACGTAGTTGCTGTTCTCTGAACCTTTTCCAAAGGCTCACTGTCCTTTTTTAAACAGAAGGCAGCCGCTTATTTGCAGTAGTCAAGTTTAGGACTCACAAACACTGTATACAAGGTCAAAAACGTTTTAGCGCCGACATGACTAAAGGCCCTACGTAAAGTTCTAAAACCTTTGGTGGCTATTGCACGACAGCGTGCAGTAGTCTTTAAGTCTTGGCTAACGATGACTCCTAAGTCAGTGTGTGTCTGGACAACAGGTAGCTCAGTGTTATTCATCGTGTATGTATCTGCACCTTGATCACCGATATCCATCACAATACACTTGGAAGTATTTATCGGCAACTGTCAGGTTTTAGAACATTCAGACAGTTTCTCCAGGTCGTTTTGGAGTTCTTAGCTATCACCCTTACTTCCTATCGTCAGTATATAGCAAAACCGATGATGATAGTAGGTCATTTACATACAAGAGGAATAACACTGACCCGAAAGCTATACGCTAGAGCACTAAGTACAGTTTCCCCGCTAGACAGCTTTGAGTTCACCCGTACTTTTTGTTGGCCCACAACTGGGAAGTCTTATCCACACCAATAGATTGCATCCAACGTCGACATTTTTTTTAACTTACATAACAGCCGTTTGTGGGAAACTTTGTCAAAAGCTGCGTCTAGAGGTAACTTTTGGTCCTTAACAGCCCACCAGCTTTCACGAGCGACAGGAGTAACCTATTCTAAAACCATGCTGTTTCTCCGAAAGGATCCGGTTTTCATCGAGGTACTTAAATAGCTCCTTCCGAATAATATTTCCCAAGATTTTAACAACCACACTAGTTAGGTTAACGGGTCGGTAGTTCACAGGTTTATGGTTCGTACCTGTTTTGAAGACAGAACTTACTGTGGCCTTCATCCAGTTTTTTGGTAAACGACTATGGGTTACGAGTAGATTAAAGCACATACTTAAAGGGTTCGCAATGAAGTTAACTAATTTCTTAAGTAAGCTAGGATTCGGTTCATCAGGCCCGTGGATTTGCCTATGTCAAGCTTATTTGGCAGACCAAGGACACCGGGTACTTTAATGGTCACACTGACCATTGTTTGTGGGGAAGGATTTGTATGGACTAACGGGAAGGGTGTTTCTATGTTATATACATTGCTAACGTAGTTTGAGAATACTTGAGCCTTACCCAATCCGTCCTCCATTAATGATGAAGTAGTACTCCCTCCCATAATGCAAGAATATTTCCTCTTCTTTTTATCCTTTAATTTATATACGAACACAAGCGTTTAGGACATTCCACGGAATGCTTGACCATTTTCTCGTCGTACAACCTTCTAGACTTACGGAAGGTTGTGGAAAGATGTTAGACAACTTATGATGTTAAATCATACGAAATTTAATGTCACAATCTAGATGGTGGTTGGAGGCAGTCGACAGGAAATCCTGGACCCGGGTTTCTTGCTACTTGGCACTCGTAAGCAAGGTGTACCTGTAATCTTGAGGGAACTGGTGCTCCCCGGTGGATTCGATCTCGTATCACCCAGCTTCACAGTCAGAGATAACATTCGATCTGCGCTAATAAGGACTAGACACGCATGGCATTGATCACCACCCAGTGATCAATCAATTGTGATTACAGGAGGTTAGTCACGACTCGGATAGCTCAGTGGTAACGTCTCTGACTGTGAAGCTGGGTGACACGAGATGGAATCCGCCAGGGAGCACCAGTTCCCTCAAGATTACAGGTACACCTTGCTGACGAGTGCCAAGTAGCACGAAACCCGTGTCCACGGTTTCCTGTTGACTGCCTCCAACCACCATCTAAAGCTCAATATATAGTGCCCGCAGTGTCGAGCCACTTAGACTGGTGGCCACATTGCAACCTGATCGATAGCATTCGATCTGTACTATGAAGGACTAAACACGCATGGCATTGATCACCACCCAGTGATCAATCAATTGTGAATGTCACAGTCTACGTAACTTTCGTTACTTCGTTATCGTCAAGTCAACTGAAGTGGATAAGTGAGTGGCAGCGAGTAACAAATGACATCCACTCCGACTCACCAAGCAAATGATTATTATTATTTGAAATAGTATACTGACTAGGAACTCCTGAAATAGTGCAATCCAGGCCAAACAGAACTCAATAAGCAGAAACAAACATATTGTACGTGTAATTCGTAATAAATAGGGAGTCCATTACAAAGGAATCATCACGTCGTGAAGATGCCACATCCGTCACAGCTAAAATAAGAATCTGAATGTCTGTAATCTAGTGTACTTCTTTGCAGGATCTCTGAATTTTGCAGTGGCATTAGAACTGACGTTTGTTTCAAAGTCTTAAATTTTCTTCCCTACACACGAGGATGAGGGGGATTTGGAGTCATGCGTAATTTCCTGCACTTCAATTCCGTAGTTAGCAAGTTATCAAGCACTTCTTTGGAAGAGTTTGAAGTGGTCAGTAAGGAAATTTGTCCTCGAAGCACTCTTAAATTCACTAGACCCATGGTTGACGGCCCAAAATTCATGATGAGTAGTTCACAATCTATTATTGAAGACTTGTCATCAACAATTTACAAAACGCAAGAATGGAAAGTTTATTACCTATATTTTACCATGGAAACCTTTAACTTTGTGAAGGACATTTTGAGATGTTTTACACTTTTAGATAATATTTGTCATCAAAATTATAGTACAGCACAGATAAAATACAGGGTTTGTGTCATGATGTAATCATTGACAGTAAGTTACCTTGAATACCACTCTCAGCACACCTTTTTCGAATTAGCTGGCGGAATGCACGAAACTCACTACCTATAAGTGATTATGTTTGGAGTACTCAAAAAGTTCAAAGATTATCAGGGACTTTAAAAAACCTTATCAATGCAGGACAAATATGAGGAATGAAAGCTATTATATCAGTGTTCTCTCAACCCTTCGATATGTAGAAACCACAACAACAACCAAAAATCCCTTCAAGTTTACCGTCATCATTCCCTGGGATTCCCGCACAAAGTTAATCGCGAGAAATATCACGAAATGTTTAATAAATTCATGCAGTTACATCAGTAGATCTCCCGCACAATTCTTTGGAGGGAAAATCCAAACCGCTAACAACGCAATGATGACATCCATCGAAGTAACAGCTTTATTAACATTAATGAAATCAAGCTCAGGAAAGAAAACACTATCCGTTCACCCCCAATGGCACAAATTTCCCAATGAGCATGATTCTTCAAAGTCAAGATTTATTAGAACTTGTAGAATTATGGTCTACTATGATATTAGTACTGCTCTAACAATAGACCTAATCCTAAAATTGTAGATTTGTCATGATATAACTGCCTAATCTATAAGATCTTACGTGGAAGTCACATCATCGACACCAACTCACCGTATCGTAACAACTACCAATACATGATGAACAAGCTTAGGCTAGAGAAAGAACAATATATTTAATATGAATAGGAGATATAAGATAACATCCAGCAGGGACCACGCCTGCATGGCCGAGCCATGCCACTCGATCAACTCCCGTCCATTCAATTCACTATTCGCGCCTTCCCCATCGTTGGGTATTTCTCCGCGTTAAATATTGAATATCTATTTTCTGTGTAGTCTCGTGTTCACAGCTTTGTGGATTGTGTGGCTATTGTCCAATGCCACTACACTACTCTCCCACCAGAATCAACGTGATGTTGGTTCGACACCAAACTGGATGGGATCGTCGCGCGCCGGAGGTTACCAAGAATAGGTAGAATTCTCCGGGTAATGATAAGCTGAAAGATAAATCAAAAAGAAGGCGGCAGCATCTGGTCGGGAAATACATGTAATAATTTTTAAAAAAAATCTGCCTTCATGCTTGACACGCTTAAAATGAAAATTTGGGTGAAGATTATTTGAGCTATAAAAAATGGGGTTACAATAATAATAATAATAAAACGATGCGTGTTAATAGCCGTTGGTTAATAACTTAACGTATAGGTAGTAAGTATTTTGTGTTTAGAAATATTAAAGTGATGAATATTGTAGAAATGTTAATATTGGTATTAGTTTTGGTTTAAATTATGAAATCAAATAACGATTATGCCGGTTAGTTGTCCATATGAGTTGAATTCCAATTGCATCTGTATTAGTAGGCTAACTGAAGGAACAAAAGTATACCGTGGAGAAGAATTCCAACTAGTGTTCCAGTTAGTTTGATACGGTTTATTTAGTTACGGGGAGATTTTCTCAATCTGATTTTTACTTGACCGTGATAGAATTTAGTAATACTACTAAT